GGGGAGGCTTTTGAGACCCGCTCTAACTTTCACGTCGTACAACTTTTGAATCGTTAAAGCTAAAACCACCAAACTTGACTTTTGCTAAAATTTATCTGGAAACACTATTTTTGATATAATAATCCTTGCCCACGAATTATGACGTTTTTATGGTACCCAATTACTGACAGGTGATCTTTACGAAATTCACTGATTTTAACTTATTCAATATAATCTCCAGGTTTTCTTTTAGCAATTGTAATTTTCCCCTTAAAGGCTTAGCAGACATCAAACTTTCATTGAATATATATCTTTTAAAGTTTTGTGTTATACTTTCAGTCTTGGAGGGAATATCCAATTAATAGAGTTTTAGCTAAATATGCCTCATACGACCTCACAATGGCGTCATGAAACACAAGGGCTTACAAGAACTTGTCACTCAACAACAAAAATATACGATCATTCGCAACAAAAAAAATGCCTGAAATCATCCGGGATCTATATGGGACGTGTACATGGATAGATTTACGTACGTACGTACGTAAAATATGTTTCAATAACTTAAAACAAATAAGGGATTTTCATGCGAAATTTACGAAATTTACAAAGTAACTAATTACCAATTTTTACATACCTACGGACGGAAGTGACGTAATCAAGCCTTGAAAAAACAACTCGATGAGTTACAATTTTTTCTTACTTATGGTACTCTGCTTTGCCGAAGGCCCGCGCGAGAGCACACTATCAACATTGTTAGGAGATATATTGTTAGGAGATTTCTTTCTGATAGCTAGGGTAAATGTAAAAAATTTTTAATGTTTGCTTGATGCCGCCATTTTCAGAATACTGGAAGAATACTTGGCGAATTGTATTTTCATTCAAATTATTATCCCCTTTTTCCGCTATTGCTGAAAGAATGGTTGCTTATTTATTTTATACCTCAAACAACATTAACAAACATATTACCGGGTTGAGTTTTTTAGATAACTCGTTTGGTCTTGGTAGGGCTGGCGGCAGAGGAGTGATGTAACAAAAACCATCTTTTTTCACACGACGGACTGTAATATTCTGTAAATTAAAGTAATAAACAAAATCTATAAGTCATTTTCTGTCATCATTTTATTTCAAAAATGCACTAGAAAAACATTCCCAGTTTTCCAAAGACAAATTTTTTTCGCTACGTTAAATATGAAAATATGCCATGTAAATTTCGTATGAAACTACTTAAATTTTGATGAAAATCACAAAAATCTTTAATTTAGACATGTTTCGACAGAGAGTCTATCATCTTCAGGTACAAAATGAATAAACAAACTATGAACGATTGAATGATTGATTGACTCGTTGTTTCGCATCAAAAAACTCACTCGCTCGAAGAATCGCTCGTTCGTTTTTTTGTTTTTTTGTTGTTTTTTTTATGTTTCACAAACTGGGAATAGAAATCGTTCGCGTGCACTTTAATTCCATGAAGTATCTCTATGGCTTACATTGTCATCAGTATTCCACATCCACTGTTGCAGTGGATTGGGTGCCAAGGATAATTCCTAACTAAATGGGAATTGAGTTTTATCCTGCATTTTTTTGTTTGTTTGTTTGTT